TACAAAAATAAATGTAAACCAAAATGAAAGTATTCCAAATTTTTATATTTAGGAAAAGTGGTCTCAATTAAAATCTCAAAATATTAAACAACTGTAGAAGGGGTTAATATTTTGAGATTAAAAATCTCCTGAAAAAAGTAACAAATTTATTAAAATTAACAGCATTTTGGAAGAAAAGTATTAAAAGTAACGAAACTATCCATCCAAGCCAATATTGCATATGAATTGCTTTCTTTTTGGTAATGAAGAGAGCACATTTCATACCAATTGTAGCATTTGCATTGGACCCATTTCTCTTCTTGTTTATTCCGCGAGAATGATTTGCAGCAGAATGCACATTAGGATCATCATTGCCATCATCATCTGTTGACATGTATGGATCTTCTGCTTTATCCTGTGAGTCACTTGAAGTTGAATCACATTTCCTCATTCTCTTTCTTTGCAGCTTCACAGATGATGTTCCTGGTTGGTTTTTGGTTCTACTGTTGATTTGTTTCTTAGCCACAGACTGTGTTAGCTTCTTTTTTTGATCTTTGTTTTCTCTGTTTCTTAATGGAGGACTGAAGTCTTGTCTTGTGAGGAGATTCTGTCACCAAAAACAATGTGCCAGCTCTAGAGGACCTGGAATTTGGATGATGAAGCAAAATAAAATAGCTTTTATCCAGGGCTGCGTTCAGTAATGCAGAATTCTTGTTAAGTCTAGTTATTCTATGATGTTGAACTTGTTTCTAACTACTGCTTGAATCCTCCCACCGCTAGAATTCTAGCTAGTTCAGTCAGCTTCTTTTATCTATGCTAACTTCTACTAGTAACGTCATTGTTTTTGTCTCATTGTATGATTTGCAAGATGGCTGCACATGTTGGATTAAACATATTTTATTATAACCATCTTAAAGTTATTCTCTCATCCTAAAATGACTTTGAAATGACTTTGAAATGTAAAATTATCACATGTTGATATAAAAGATTTCGAATGCATTTTAATGGAAGACAGCGGTCCATTTCATTAATTACAATTAATGATTGTTTTATTAATTTCATCACAATCTGACACAGCTTCCATTTGAATAATTGTATTGGTTACTTCAACCTTTTTGACCAGTTCATTTGCAACAATCATTGCGATCATGATTTTAACTTTGTCCACCATTTTGCCCAGTTGTCTAACTAAGAATAATCATTCAATGATGTTCAGAACATTCTTAGCTCTGTCCACTAAGCCATTCAGAATTCTAACTTAGGTGTTCTGCATTACTGAACGTAGTCCAGATTTCTTATAGGTAAAATAACAGTAGGTAAAATAAGTGAAATAAAATAAGTTGGGTGAAGTTGGTGCATAAATCCGTCTCCATGATGTGTTTAGGAATCCCATAAAGGGATGGATTTAGGACCACAATGTATACAAATATGACAGTCATTCTCTGTCCAACCACTCAACCCACAAGTGTTAACAGATGGGATAGAAGTAGCAGGATCGAAGTTACAGATATGTAAAAGAAATGCTTTGTAACTTAAGATGTTGGAATAATGTTTTGAAGCTAAAGGAAAACTGTAAGTGCACAACTTGAAATCACTTTTCTTAAATTATGTGGCAATGGACAACAGATCTATCACCATTTCACTGCTAATGTCTAACTAGCTATTTGTGATGTGATTCAGGCACTGATTGACATTTTCATCAATGTCAGATTTGATGGGAGATGAATGAATTGAGGGGAGGGAACAATATTTGGGCAACATACCCTATTGACAACATAATGGCTTTATTTACCACTTCAACTTAAATCTGGAATAAGATTTAAAATTCAAGTTCAATTGTTATTCACCATGCATTAATTCTAGAATTAACTCTTAAATCTGAATTATGATTTAACTCACTGACACTGATTATTGAATTTTAAGTTTTTTATTTAACTGTTTTGAGAATAATTTCATTTAACTCTTGTATTGTTGATTCATATTTTCTAGTTTGGAAAGATTTGAATGATTATTTTTCTTTTGTATTAGCTATATTTAACATTTATAATTTATAATTTTTTTCATGATTTTTTAGTTCATATAAAATAATATATATTTATTTAATTTTTTTATAATCTGACATTGAATTTACTAAAATCTTTTCATTACAGCTATGGCATTATATGAAAGTATTCCAAACAATGAAAATCAAGCTCAAACACTATTTGAAGGTTTGAAGGATACATATGAAAATAATAAGATTGCAATATTAGATTTGCTTAAATCATGTCCTTCTGATTTATTAAATTTTCAGGTAAACTTAATTTTTTTAATGGTTACAATTTGATCAAATTGATTAAATTTGTTTTATGTTTCACTCATTTATTTATAATTTATTAAGAATAAGTAAGAAAATTTTGTCCAGTTGACTAGTACCATAATTTCATGCAGATAATCTATGATAGTGTATAATGTAGAAAATTATTAAAACAGAAAGAAAGCTTTCACATAACCCATACCACTAAAACTCCACATTTTGGAGTGGTCAGTGAAAGCATAATACTTTTCAATGTGTAGTTTTGAAAATATCATCTCAAACATTATAATGTTATTTTTCTGTTTCATTTCTATTAGCATTACATTATGGATGTAATTATAAAAACTGAAGTAATTCAAATCAGTAGAATACAAAATGGTCATATCATTAAAAAATAAAATTACAAACATTTTAAACTTATGAATTAAAGAACATGAAAGTAATTTCATAGTCAAAAATACATATTGAATTATCAGAAAATAAATACAATTGTAAAGCAAAACATATCCATGAAAAATAAGGAAATTTATGGTTAGTACTCTCTATTTACTTCACCAGATTAGAAAACCACTTGTAGAAAACTGAAAATCAATATACTAATAACTCTATATCTTATATAATTGGCTAGCAAGCTGGGGTATTGGCATGTTGGGACCAGGCTAAATAATTAAAAAGTGTTTGATATCAGAAAATTAAAATCAATGGAAGAATTTGAAATTTTCCAAGCTGCTAGAAGGGTATATGCATTAATTTCACGGAGAAAGAAATGTTATCCAAAGCTTGGCAATCTCTACTTGATAACCCAAAGAGAATGACATAGGATAGATTTTTGACTATAAGATCTGTGTAAGAGTTGTGGAAGAGATCGATGTGTTTCCAAGAGCAAGTGGAAGGCATGCAGCAAGTGTTTGTCCAAAACCCAAAGAAGCCATTCACAAGGTCTCTTGTGAACTTGGAACACTGAGGTTGACTGTATGATTTTGCATAAGCAATTGCATACAAGATACAAGTGAATGGATTTCTTCCTACTAAAGAGTCACCATGTTACTTCTCTGAAAATGCCACCACAAATCAGTGGTGAATGTTTTGAGAATATGCACATGAAATTTTAAGTATTAGCTGACTTTTCAACAGACATTTCATTAACATATCTTCATAATTCCATTTTACACAGACATTTAAAACTAGTGAGATTTGAGTGAGAGATACTGTATATATAATTATATTCAATAATTATAAATAATTCAAATATTTCAACAACAGAAAGCATAAGTGAACAAACATATTTATTTGCAAACCATTAGTTTCAAAACAAAAATGTTTCTAAAACAGCAATGTACGTGAACACAAAATATCACAATGCGAAGGTAATACATGTGATATAATTTTTTGGATTGAAAAAATAGATCACTGTAATATAGAAAGTAAAGTGAATTTTCTTGAAACTTGCCTATCACAATAAAGACTAATATCTTAGATCAATATGCTAAAAAAGACTGATGAAAAATATAATGAAAATGTAAAAAATAAAATTATGCTTATCCAATGCATAAAGTATGTTGTCTGCTTGATGCCACATTGAGTTCAAAGAATTTTTAAAGTGATTCACTGTATTTTTTGATAAATAAATGATCTACAAATAACTTATAAGACACCAATTGAGAAAATGTTTTTATTTCATAAATATGAACTTGAAAACCTAATCAATTTTTTGGATTAAAGTTGAGATTATCAAAAATGTTATTTTCTTATAACAAATTCAAAATTTGAATAAATTAAAAAAGTTTCAAATGGTAGTTTCAAAGAAATATTTAAGAAATTATAATTAATTTAACAAAAAACAAGTGCATCTACACTTGGCTTTGCATTACATATTAAAATTATTCTTTAAAGCTGGAGCTAATGTATAATTGATGACCAAACTGATCTTTTGTACACTTCCAGCAATGCCATCATTGTAAAAGAAAAACAAGCATTTTCAGTCTTGTTCAGAGGCTAGCATCTGGATTCTATAGATTTTCTTTTTTTTTTTATTCTTTTTTAGACAAGCTTTTGGAATTTGAAAAAACAAAGTTCTGGAACAAGATCCATTTAAACCAACCAGAAGAATGAACCAAAACAAAAGAAGAAAAATCTTCTATAGAAGCCTGACACTGGCCCCTGAATGAGGCTAAAAAAACATTTTCTTTTTGTTTATATCAATGGCATTGCTGGAAACATACGGAAAGTCCATTTGGTCATCAATTACTCTGTATTACAGTTGTTCTTGGTTTCTGCAGCAGGGGGAATTAGATAAAGAGGCCAGAAACTAGAAAAATTCTTAATATGACAACTAAGGAATTTTTTTTTCTAAACTTGAAGAAGTTTTGAGAAAGCAATCCCAATGTTCTTTGAAGCATTCAAATTATTGAATTTAAAGTCATGTTCTCTGTTACAGGAAAATTATAATTATCAACTACTTCATATCATCTGTAAACTATCAATAATTTATAATTATGTGGTTAATAATGTGAGAAGTTGGGGGCGAGAATATATTATCCTACGCCCACTTTCTGACGATGAGACGATAAGTCCTGCTCACTTTGTCAGTGGATGGTAACAATGATAAATTTAAAAGTGACTGGAACTCATGATTTTCCCAGTCTTTTTCCTGACACCAGACAAGAAAGAGTTAATTTAATTGCATCTTGTCTTGCGATATTAAGATCTATGTTCTAATAGGAGGGCTATATGTTTCAAATGAGGAGGTCAATGGGTAAAGTGTCAATAGGTATCCATTTCCATATTCAAGTGAACAGATGGGTTAACAAATAAAAACAAACGTTTAATGAATATAATAAAGAAATACATAAAGGAATACATAAAGGAATAATCTATCGCTATATTGATTTCTAACTACATACACTTCTAAATATCGAGAGAGAGAGAGCTTACATAATGTTTGACATAATACCTCTGAATATAATTGTTGATCTTGATTTCTTATGTGAGGTGGAGGTTGTGAAATCGGAGGAGACTAGGCACAAACAAAAGTTCTGAATAACTGGCTGGAATGCAAAATTCACCCTGAATTAGGTGTGTAAAACCCTTAAATTTAGAAATTTTCTCCAATGAGGAGTTTGGATTGTAGTCATCTGACGAGTTATTTTTGCTACAAGTTTGTCATGGGAAATGATGACATCTCTTTTAGGAAGTAGATTGGTAAAAAAAGAAGTTGAATTTCTTTGTTCACATCAACTTTTATTGTTAAAAAGTGGAAAAAAGTTACTTCTAACGTCAAAATAATATATCTAAATTTTAAACTTATATAAAATATCACTCTAACTTCAGATTCTCACAATAATATATATATTTGTCATATTTTACAAATCTATTGAATAAATACTTGGACAGGTTCATTTTTTTTAAACACTACAGTCTTAGATATTGTCTAATAAATTTCTCATTTTAAAAAACACTTCCATAAACTAAGTTCATTATATGATATGAGATTTATCAATTTAATAAATTTGAAAATTTATCAATTTAAAAATATTGTAAATTTATTTTTCTCCAAATTAATGTATTTGCTTTAATTTTTAATTAACTGATAAAGAATTCAAACAGCGTAAAGTCTATTGTTTATTATGTTATAACAATAATAAGTGACAACATGAAAATATTAATTAGATCTTTAGTATGCTTTATATTAGTAATGTAATTGAAAATATGTATAAAAATAAATAATCAAAATGATTGAGAGACTGCTGTTGCACAATGCTGTGTAAAAGAATATTATGTAAGTAATAGACTTTATTAAATATTAAAAAAAACTTTATTTATTTTAAATGATAAAGTTTGAGTTAATATAGTATCCTTTTCATCTGTTTAATAAATTTATTTTTCATAATTTTATTTTAAAATATTAATTTTATTTCTAGAAAAAGGATGTAGTAAAAGAAATATTTCAAACTTCTTTAATCTTGGCATCAAGTACAAAACCACCTGAATCTCTTACAGCAGCTTATTTATTTCGTTTACTTATATTACATAATAGTACACAGGAAATTGCATTTAATATTTTAAGTGAATTTTATGGAGAACATGATGAATGTCTTCAGAAAATCAAAACATTCAATAACAGTTTTAAAACTACATGCCTTGTTGTTATAAAAACATTACTGATTCAATTGAGGTATCATCTAAGTAGAGCAAATATAAGTTTATTAGAAGCTGCTGCTAACAATCCTCTTTATGGTATTATAACCTGCATAAGATATGTATTAGCTGATGCTGATTTAAGGTAAGTTTTGTTAAATTTTGGATGTAAATATATGTTATATTTTTGTATATATTTGTATTTTTTTATTTTATATATAAAGTGGAAACTCAATTATCCAAACTTGATGAGACCAGGGATCTTTCAGATAAATGAAATTTTGGACAATACAGAAACTTGTTAGTGTTTCTGTTTTGGGTACATTAAGCACTGTACTTTTAAAGTTTCTTAAACTATAATTACTGTCTCTATGTAATACGTCTCTGTAATTCAACAAATGGTGGACGGACTCACAGCAAATTTTCAGTTAGGAACTATAATTTTATTCTCAAAATTGACAAATGCATTTCAGGTTGGCTCAGTACATCCCAACCCCTTCTCAGTGTCTGAAAGATAAAAAATTGTGCATGGGACACCAACACATGGTATACATCAATACATCATCATCAATGACGATCTATTGATGTATAACATGTGTTGGTGTTATAGTTGTGTTGGTGTCCCATGCACAATTTTTTTATCTTTAAGACACTGAGGAGGGGCTGGGATGTACTGAGCAAACTTGAAATGCATTTGTCAATTTTGAGAATAAAATCGTAGTTTCTAACTGAAAATTTGCTGTGAGTTTGTCCACCATTTGTTGGATTACAGAGATGTATTACATAGAGATCTAATATACAGCAGTCTAGTTATATAGTGTATAATTACTGTATTTAAAGCTAAATTAATTTTCTCATAATTTAATGTAATGTTATGTATATATGACCTAGTTTTATGGTGTTACATTCAACATAGATGATAGTGATTTCCACTTTCATAAAAAGTTTGGTTTCTGTGTATTTTCACTGTATATACACGTGCATGTTATTTTAAATAAATAATTTGTATGAAAAATTTATTTAATAAATAAATAAATTTTTAATTTATAAAAAATGAAAAAAATAAATTTTATCAAAATGTCAAGAAAGAAACAACTAATTTTTTACACTAGATTCTTATCAGTTTATGAACACTGTAATGCTAAAGTTAAAATTTATATCAATGGTCTAAAATTTGTTTTTGTTTTACCTGAAAAAGACATTCTATACATGTCGAAAGTGCTTGTGAAATATTTTGTATTGTTTTGTGTTTTACTTATCAAAACCTTATTAATGCTCATAAACAGTGCTCATAAACTTTTATCTGATGTCAAGAAAATAGTAATGCTTAATATTTGTATATATTTTACTTAAATTCATCTGGGCAACATAACATTAGTATAAATATTAAAGCAATATTAGCAGTTAAAGCAATATACAAATATTAAACCATAATTCATACTAAGGTTACCAAACAAATACTCTTTATTTAAAAATAATAAGCTTTGACCAGAAGAACCATTGTTCTTCTTGCTTGTTATTCTAGAACTTAAATTAAATAATTTGTTCTTTTTAGTTCAAAAGCTTGTTCTATGTTATATTTTTATATAAGCTGTTCTTAACTGAAGATTGCTCAAAGTGAGCTGAGAATATTTTTAAAATAAAGAATGTTTTGTAATGTTAGTAAGCAGTATGGTTAGTATTTATTGAACTATGATGTCAAGTTTTGTGAATTATAAAAGCAATATACTTTAGAGTAAAAATAATTTATAAAATTTTATTGAAAAATTCTTGCAGTTCTGATTTTGATAAAGAAGAATCTGTCTGTTGGAAAGAGATTCTCTCTCAATTAATAACATATTGTTTTGAAACTACTAATGCAGTATCACCTATTGTATGCAATACCTCTCCAGAAGGACACTTGCCAATGGATACTGATCCAGGTAATTTAGTTTGATAATTTTATTTATATATATGTCTGTAAAATAAATAAAAGTCTGTTTGTCTGTCTTTCAGTTTTAGAATAACTTTAATTTTATATTAATTAAACAAAATTTTCTTCATTTTATTGTGTATTCTTTGGTGTAAAGTGCTAAAGTGATTTAGATATATCCTTGTTTACAGTTAATTAATATGTGACTATTCAAACTTATAACTAACTCTCATAATTTCTAGGTTTAATAATGACAATTGAAAGTTTCTAATATATTGAATTGAAAATTGAATATCAATTTTCAATTCAATATATTAGAAACTTTCAATTATAACTTTCATATATATATATATATATAAATACTATTTGAATCAATGCATAAAAAGCT